TTCTTACTTGCAGCGGGGGGCGGGGGGACACACACTTGACTTACCTTGATCTGTCTGCCCTCGGATGTTACCAGCTTCCCCTGTGAGCCTCAAGTAACCAAAACACAAGACCGCCACCTTGCTTCCCTTCACCTGCTCCCTTTGAAATTCCTTCTGCTTCATCCAGATGGCAGTCACAGCCCATGAAACTTTTCTGGGTTGGTCCCTCAAGCTGCTTGCCCTCACTGAAACCTCATATACATTGTTCACTAAGCCACACTACACACAGCTCAAGTCATTATGTATCCTTTCCCGGCCTTGTCTACTCATGCTCCAATTCAACCTTCCACTGTTGTTTCTCCGTATCAGTTCTAAATTATAAGCTCCTTGAGTAGGACATGCCAGAACTGCTTACTGAGAAGTGACATGTGCACAGATGGAGATGCACTGATGACTGAAGGTGGTGATAATGTGCTAGGGAGCTCTGTACGCATGTAGGAAGCCAGTGTGCATACAGTTCAGTGCAGGCTGGATCAGAGTTTCACAGTGCAATAGACCTGAAAATAAGTCCCATTATATTCAGTGGGACCCAGGACCAGGAAAGTGGGTATAGAATGGCATCATGGATCACCTTAAAGTTTTTGCTTCACTGTATTCATAGTTCTCCTTCATGGATTGCTGCCTTGTCGTGGTGAAGGGGCTTGCGTAGCTCAATGAAGCTATGAGCTATGCCCTGCAGGGCCACCCAAGATGGACAGGTCATAGCAGAGAGCTCTGACGAAATGTGATCCACTGGAGAAGGAAATGGCAACCCACTCCAGTATCTTTGCCATGAAACCCCCATGGACAGTACCAAAAGGCAAAAAGATATGACGCCGGAAGATGAGCCCCTCAGGCTGGAAGGTGTCCAACGTGCTACTGGGGAAGAGCAGAGGGCTAGTACTAGTAGTGCCAGAAAGAATGAAGCGACTCGGTCAAAGCCGAAAGGACACTCAGTTGCAGATGTATCTGGTGGTGAAAGGAGAGTCTGATGCTGCTAATATCTATACTCCATAGGAACCTGGAATGTAAGATCCATGAATCAAGGCAAGCTGGATGTGGTCAAACAAGAGATGACAAGACTGAATATCAACATCTTGGGAATCAGTGAACTAAAACGGACAGGAATGGGTGAATTTAATTCAGATGACCATCAGGTATACTACTGCGGGCAAGAATCCCTCAGAAGAAATGGAGTCGCCTTCATAGTCAATAAAAGAGTAGGAAAAGCAGTACTGGTATACAATCTCCAAAATGACAGAATGATCTCAGTTCGAATCCAAGGCAAACCATTCAACATCACAATAGTCCAAGTCTATGCCCCAACCACTGGTGCTGAAGAGGCTGAAGTTGACCAGTTCTATGAAGGCCTACAACACCTTCTAGGATTAACTCCAAAAAATGATGTCCTTATCATCATGGGGGATTGGAATGCTAAAGTAGGAAACCAAAAGATAACCGGAATAACAGGCAAGTTTGGCCTTGGAGTACAAAATGAAGCAGGGCACAGGCTGGTAGAATTTTGTCAAGAGAATACAATGGTCATAGCAAACACTCTTTTCCAACAACCCAAGAGACAACTCCACACATGGACATCACCAGACGGTCAACACAGAAATCAGATTGACTATGTGCTCTGCAGCCAAAGATGAAGAAGCTCTATCCAGTCAGTAAAAACTAGACCAGGAGCTGACTGTGGCTCAGATCATGAGCTTCTTGTTGTAAAATTTAGGCTTAAAAGAAAGTAGGGAAAAGCACTAGGCCACTCAGGTATGACCTAAATCATATCCCTGATGAATATACAGTAGAGGTGACAAATAGATTTAAGGAATTAGATCTGATAGTCAGAGTGCCTGAAGAACTATGGATGGAGGTTCACAACATTGTGCAAGAGGTAGCAACTAAAACCATCCCCCCCCCAAAAAAAAAAAAGAAATGCAAGAAAGCAAAATGGCTGTCTGAAGAATCTTTACAAATAGCTGAGGAAAGAAGGGAAGCAAAAGGCAAGGGAGAAAGAGAAAGATACACCCAATTGAATGTTCCAGAGAATAGCTAGAACAGATAAGAATGCCTTCTTAAATGAACAGTGCAAAGAAACAGAAGAAAACAATAGAATAGGGAGGACCAGAGATCTCTTCAAGAAAATTGGAGATATGAAGGAAACGTTTCATGCAAAGATGGGAAGGATAAAGGACCAAAATGGCAGGGACCTAACCGAGGCAGAAGAGATTAAGAAGAGACGCCAAGATTACACAGAAGAACTATACAAGAAAGAGCTTAACCTCCCTGATAACCATGATGGGGTGGTCACTGACCTTGAGCCAGACATCCTGGAATGTGAAGTCAAATGGGCCTTAGGAAGTCTGAGCAACAACAAAGCTAGTGGAGGAGACAGTATTCCAGGTGAGCTATTCAAAATCTTAAAAGACAATGCAGTAAAAGTGCTTCACTCAATATGCCAGCAGATTTGGAAAACTCCACAGTGGCCACAGGATTGGAAAAGGTCAGTTTACATTCCAATCCCTAAGAAGGGCAATGCCAAAGAATGTTCAAACTTCTGCACCATAGCACTCATTTCACATGCTAGCAAAGTGATGCTCAAAATACTACAAGCTAGGCTCCAGCAGGATGTGGACTGAGAACTACCAGAAGCACAGGTGGGATTTCAAAGAGGGAGAGGAACTAGAGATCAAATTGCCAACATACGCTGGATCATGGAGAAAGCTAGGGAGTTCCAGAAAAACATCTACTTCTGCTTCATTGACTATGCTAAAGCCTTTGATTGTGTGGATCACAACAAATTGTGGCAAGTTCTTAAAGAGATGGGAGTACCAGACCATCTTATTTGTCTCTTGAGAAACCTATATGCGGGTCAAGAAGCAACAGTGAGAACTGGACACGGAACCACTGATTGGTTCAAAATTGAGAAAGGAGTTCGCCAAGGCTGTATACTGTCACCCTGCCTATTTAACTTACATGCAGAGCACATCATGAGAAAGGCGGGGCTAGATGAATTACCAGTTGGAATTAAGATTGCTGGGAGAAATATCAACAACCTCAGATATGCAGATGATACCACTCTCATGGCAGAAAGTGAAGAGGAACTAAAGAGCCTCTTGATGTGGGTGGAGGAGGAGAGTGCAAAAGTTGGCTTGAAACTCAACATTAAGAAAACTAAGATCATGGCATCCAGTCCTCTCACTTCCTGGCAAATAGATGGGGAAGAAATGGAGGTAGTGACAGATTTTATTTTCCTGGGCTCCAAGATCACCACAGATGGGGACTGCAGCCAAGACATTAAAAGGCACTTGCTCCTGGGGAGGAAAGCTATGGCAAATCTAGCCAGCATACTAAAAAGCAGAGCCAGCATCGTGCCAACAAAAGTGCGTATAGTCAAGGCTATGGTTTTCCCAGTTGCAGTGTATGGCTGTGAAAGCTGGACCATAAGGAAGGCTGAGCACCGAAGGATTGAGGCCTTTGAACTGTGGTGCTGGAGGAGACTCCTGTGAGTCCCTTGGGCTGCAAGGTGATCAAACTGGTCAGTCCTAGAGGAGATCAACCCTGACTGCTCTTTAGAAGGCCAGATCCTGAAGATGAAACTCCAATACTTTGGCCACCTAATGAGAAGGAAGGACTCCCTGGAGAAGAGCCTGATGCTGGGAACAATAGATGGCAAAAGAAGAAGGGGACGGCAGAGGATGAGGTGGCCGGATGGAGTCACTGGGGCAGTTGGTGTGAGCTTGGGTGGACTCCGGGGATGGTGGAGGACAGGAAGGCCTGGTGGAATGTTGTCCATGGGGTCGCGATGGGTCAGACACGACTTCGCAACTAACAACAGCAACAACAATTCATAGAGGACTTCCATTATTTTTTCTTTTAAAGGAGCACTAGCAACAAGGAGGGTTTTTGCAGCACTCGAACCCCACTTCTGGAACAGGAGACCCAGAGAGTTGCATCTGCCTCCCAGGCTGTTAGCATTCTGGTGCCAGGCAAAGACTCGACTTTCCTCCTGTTACTTTAACAATGGATATTATTGTCTGTTTGGTTCTAAAATGGACCCCATGTTTTTAGTTGATTATAGTTTAAATTGTTTTATTTAATATTTTATATTGTATTTGGATATATGATCTTTATATTTGAAATATATTGTTAATATGTTCTGAATAAGCTGATTTAATGTTACTGATTTTGGCATGCTGTGTTGTTTTTATATTGTGAGTCATACAGAGAGTCCAAATATGGGCTATTGTAGTGGCATATAGATCCATTAAATAAATAAATAAACCTCCCCTGCTTCCAAACGTGGACCAGAGTATAAGGACATCCTGCCTCTGAGGCTGGGGGCAGCATAGAACAGCCTTCCCCAACCTGATGGCCTTCAGAAGCATTTGGACTACAACTCCCAGAATTCCCATCCAGCCGACTGGGAATTCTGAGTGCTGCAGTCCAAACATGTCTGGAAGGCACAAGTTGGGGAAGGCTGGCATAGAGCCATCAGGACTAATAGCCACAGATAGCAAATTCCTCCAGCAATTTGTCCAGTCTCCATTTAAAGTTATCCAAATCAGCGACTATCATAATATCTTGTGGAAGTGACTTCCATTGTTTAAGTATGCATTGTGGGAAGACTTCCTTTTATCTGTCCTGAATTTCCCCCCATGCAGCTTCATGGGATGACCCTGGTTTCTGGTATTATGAAAGACAAATGTCTCCATATTCACCTTCTCCACACTGTGCACAATTTAGTACATCACTTGGACGTGGTTTTGAGAAGGGGATTCTCAAAGACAAACTCCGAACAATGTGCTTGAGGACCAAGAGGCCCCTCTTCCTATAGCTGTGTTTGTGCTAATCAAAACAAAGCATGGATTTCTTGCCATTACATCCAATCCTGATGTTATTCTGTTACACATCTTAAAGTATGTGTTGTACATTGTGTTGCACCAATTTTTTTCTCCATATTTTTAACTCTTCTCATTCAGTTTGATAGAAAAAATGCTTTAATGATGCTTGAAGGAGAAGGCGATCGCAAAGCAATTCTCACAGGTAGGATTTGCAGTTCTTGTACTTGCTTTACGCATGAGCTGGCTCAGAACGGCCTCTTTCGTTGTATAGATCCCTCTTCTTGCACAGCTGGCAGATTCATCCACTTCCCAGGGAGGGAGGCAACAGAGTGACGGAGAGATGTGTATCAGGAAGAAGAAAACGCACAGCACACTTGGCCATGTCACAATGATAAGCAATGCCACCAACACAGGATGAGATAGAAAAACAGAAGCTCCTTTCATGGGGAGAGAAACTTCTGGGAAACTGGAAGACAGATGTTGGCCCAGCACTAGTTGTAACAAAGAGCTGTAAAATGGATCTGTAAAAAGGGAGATGTGCTTCCAGGTAGCAGCATGTGGCTGGAGATACTTAACTTCTGCTGGCCTACGTCCACAAACACTTCCTCACATCCGTTTGGACTTAGTAGCAGTTTTTCAGTGAGACCCGACTTTCAGTTCACAGAGCTACAGCCAAACATCATATTCAGGCTGTAGTTTGGGCCTTAAAGTTACTCTGCAAGATGATTCCCACTGTATAGTCATGGGGGGAAGCCCAGCATTAGCTGAAACATCTAGTCCTGGAAGGCGGAGGGCTGCTTTGACTAGCACTTCAGGTTCATGGGCCACCAGTACCGGAAGCAGTCTGATGGACCACAGAGCAGGAAAGACTGACTCAGAGAAGCCCCTGGCTGACTCAGGCATGCCGGATGCAACCCACACACAGATGAATGAAGTCTGACGGGGCCACTGTGTTTTTGAGCACTGTGTGTATATAAATGATTAGGAACTCCTGGAGAATGTTTGCATTTGGAATAATACATAGCATGATTGATGACATCAGTAACAAGGACTAATATTGCATGTACCACCACAGTGCAAATCTATCTTATTTGTCTTTCTTATCTTGCAGAAGCCGTGCTTCGCAGCATGTTACTGCTGGCATTGTAAGGAGATGGAGACCAGTACGGCTGCGTGGAAGGCCTGGACTTTTAACGTTGCATCATGAGTCTGAATTGGCTGAGCCATGGCATGGAGAGGGTTGACACTTTCTGCCGGTGGTTTTTGTTTAAACCCAAAGGGGTGCATAACATTTTCTCCTCCAATTGTTTTTCCATTCAATGTGTGTTCTGTGGAGGAAAAAAGGTGGGACATTTTTATTTTGTTATTTATTTATTTTTAAATTTGTATGTTGCCCACTAACCCAAATGGATTTTCTAGGTGGCTTACAGTAAAACAGTAAAAAACAACAATAAAAACACTTCAATGAAATAGTTAAAAGTTAAATATCATAATTATACCGAGTAAGCAGAACAACAGATGTCAGAATAAAAAACAAATTTCAAGTCTGTTTTTGAAAGTATTCAGAGAAAAGAAGTGTCTTGGCACCAAAATGAAAACATGGTTAATGCCAGGTGAATTTCTCTGGGGACCCTGTTTCATAATTGAGGAGCAGCCACCAAGAAGGCCCTTCTTCTATTTACTGATCCCTTCACCTCTTTAAGAGATGGCTCTTTTAGAGGGACTTCCTGCCCAGACCTTAATGGGTAGGTATGTACATATGGGAGCAGATGGTCCTTTAAGTAGCCAGGAAATAGTATATCTCTTCCTCCCAACAAGGGAATAATCCCTGGATGGATGGAAGAGTTGAGTAACCCCTTTCCGCAAGTCATTCTACTGTTGAAACCTGGAGCTTATCCTAGGCTGCTTCTAGTTTTAAAGACACTTGGCCACTCTTGTTCCAACAAGACTCTATTCTGCCATGAATAATGAAGTACCCTGGTACTGGAATGAGGTTTACCACTCAATCTTTATATTCCAACCTTTGAAGATCATTAATTGTCTGGGAAAGTCAAGGCACCCCAGAGATTCCAACTTCCAAAGGACAGGTTACTCAGACAGTAAAGAAATGTGAGAGTTAAGTTTCAACTAGTATTTATATACCACATTCCTGCCAGGAGATTAAAAATGGTGGGGATATCTTGAAATGCAGCTGCAACAATGAAGCAGCTCTTGCATTTAGGGTACTGTTACTTTCGCAGCCACTGGGACTGCCTTCTTCTCTTGCCATCCTTCTTGCTTCAAACTCACTTCTTTCTCCATCTTTCCACTGAGGCAGATTCTCCCAGGAAATTTAGGAGGATCTGGCCCTTTTGCTGATACCACCGCCTACCGTTCTCCAGAAATGCCTGTAGAAAACGACCTTGATCAGCTGGAAGGAATTCTGCATATGTAACCAGAATTGGATGACCAATTCATTCATTATCAAAGCTGGGTGAGCGGCTAGGCTCATAACGAACCAGTTTATTTATTTATTTATTTAGTAAGCTTCTATGCCGCCTCATTCGCCGAAGCCTCGGGGCGGCTCAGAACAATAAATAAATACATATTAAACATATAAAAACAATATAATTGGAGACGTCCTGGCCAACAATATGAAATCAATAAATAAAGCTAACAATTAAAATAACGTTTAAATAAAAAGGTCTTCGCCTGGCAAACAAATAACGCCGAAAAACAAATAACGACAGTGCCAGGCGGACCTCTCTGGGGAGCGCATTCCATAGATTGGGCGCCACTTCAGAGAAAGCCCTCCTCTGGGTACTTACCCTCCTAATATCCTTCACGGAGGGTTCCCGGAGAAGGGCCTCTCCCGCCGATCTCAAGGAGCGGGAGCGTATGTATGGACGTAGGCGCTCCATAGATTTCATAGATTCCGCCTGCGATTTGCTCCAGCCAGTGGCCGAAAGGAGCATCATGGCTGGGAACTGGGGAATTCCAAACTCCTCTGTGGGAAGGAAGGGTGCTTGAGACAGCAGCTCCACGATAGAGGGGTGGACCTCAGTCCTTTCTCAATGGGGACTGAGACACCACCTTAGGGTGTTCGGTGGGCCCTGAAGTGAAGCTCAGTGAAACTTGGGAATGGCTCCTGCAAGGTACTCCAGGCACCTTGGGGCATTGACTCCTAACAGCACTGGCCACCTCTTGGAGGGGTGGACTTTCAGGAAGAGCTTTGCTGGATAGTTGTGCAGGCTTGGTGGCATGAATACAGCCTGTGCAACCCTTTATAAACAGAAACCAAGGAATAATGGAATAAGGACAATGGGCATTATTCAACACCCACAAAAGTGAGCTGTGATTTCAGTGAGCTTTGGTATATTTTATGGAGGGCAAACAATACTGGACTACTTGCCAAGTGTCTTACATTATACAGAGGTGAGCCTTCTAGATGTTCACTGAAGCACTGCATTTATCTGCACAAACTTTTGCGTGCATGAATTTCCTAAATTTCCTAAATCCATACATTTTAAAGACACATCTGTAATGCATTCTACATGACTCAAACTTTAATTAATTGATATACAGGGACTGCAAACTTGTTTATATCCTTTCTTCGGTCCTGCTATCTGTTTGTAGAAGGGCATGAAAAAAGCAGGTATTTTCTTCTAACAGATGCAGTAGTTTATTAAATTGTGTTTAAAAAAGCCAAACCTATATTGATATTCTGGTAATAGGCAACTCTTTAATTCATTCATGCAATTGATACATTAAAAGAAAGCTGCCTAATCATAAATGGATTGATTAATGTTCATAATGCACAAAGAAAGAAATTGGTGCTGTTCTAACCAGTCTGAGAGCCTGCGGGTTTCTCGGCAATACCTGCCCTGGAGGCAGAGGGCAATCGGAAACAAGGGGTTGTTCGCTGATCCTGTGGCTCTTTTCCTTCTCTATTTGTATTTGCTGTTGGTACATTGACTTTGAGAGCACTTTCCAAAACCAGGCAGCAGAGGGAGCTTCAATCCGGTTTTCTCCTTCATGAACATTCACTCTAGCCTTTTATGATGAGGCTGCACGACTTGAACGCCTCCTGCCTGGTTTAGCACCCTGCGCCTGTCGGAAATGGGAGATGCAGAGAAATCTGGTCCTCGAAGAGGGAAGTCAGGGCCCGCTCCAGAGAGCACTGGGAGCCGCAGTTTCAGCCAATGTCAAGGAAGGCACACTCCAGTCCGCCCATGTGCGTGACCCTGGGTTCCTTGCAAGAGGAAGAAATGCAGGACAGAAACCCAACGTAATAACAACAACAACATAATAATGCAACCTTGATTAGCCTGCAGCATGCAACTGCGGAGTTGTATCTGATGGTACCTGTTCACCAGTGGAATGGAAACTGCGATGGAGCATTTCCCCCTCCATCCCTCCCTTCCTCCCGCAGCCTCCCATATACCTCCTTATCTGTTCCGGGGTCCCTCTTGATTTGATCTGGAAGGGAGGTCAGAGTGGGGGAGCTGCAAGGGGAGGGAGAGCAAGGAAAGGCCAACTCATGTCGGGGGTGTTGCTGGCCAGTTAAAAGTTCTGGGAGTCAGGTTCAAATGACAGCATCTAAATAAAAATTGCACAGACTGATATAAATCAACACATGCAGGTGTGTAATGATTACTAGGTTAGACATGAAAAGCAGAAGATGCAAAGCAAACCAACAGAGTTCACATTCAAAGAATCTCCAGTTTAAAGAGAGAGAGCGAGGAAGAGCTCATGGGCTAATAGAGCAGAATATAAGTTTGATGATAAATACATAAATATCCTCAAGGAATGTACTGGATGATGCCCAAACAAGTTTTCTCTCAGTTCAATTGCCATGCAAGGATAGATGTGGGAGACCTAATCGTTCCCTCACTAGCTGTGATTCCTTTCAAAAATTGCTCCCTGCATGGCAATTAAGCTAAACACAACAAAGACTCATCCATTGGTGCCGATTGGTGCTCAGGGCTCTGGAGAAAGAGATCCCAGACCTGGAAAATAGATTCAGGGGTTGGGCCTAGGTCCACGAACACTTGGACTCACAAGTTGTTGGATTTACACCGTGTCTCTTTGAGCTGACCAACACATGTGACCACCAGAGGGGATGCTGTGGCTCAGGTGCCACGGCTGGACACGAGTCCACATTCTGCCCCCTCTGAAGCAGGGGATCATTACTTATGAGGACACTGATTTGCATACACACGGTGCCATGTTCAGTTCCTGGCCTCTCCAGCTCAGGAGGTCCAGATAGCTGTTGAGCACAGCAGTTGTAGCTACACCACCATGATGGTTAGTGGCCATTGCTAGGCCTATCTTTTCTCACCATCATCATGAGTTTTACGAGTGGAGGTGACCAGGGCCTTTTCCTGTCTTTGGAACATGGTCCCCAAAGAGATTTGCCTGGTGCCATCTCCTTTTTTCTTTTCAGTGCCAGGTGAAACCCTTTTTATTTTCCAGATATTTTAAAAGGTAATTGTCAGATTTAATATTGTTATTATAATTGCTATTGTGCCATGTATTAATTTGATTATAGTCAGTGTGGGTTGTTGAGGATCATGTTGTATTGATTTTATTGTTCATTGTTTTATTGGAATATGGTGATCTTATTGCTTTTTAAAATGCTTTTTAACCTGTAAACCACCCAGAAAGCCTTAGGGCTATGGGGAGGTGTGGAAGTGAAGCAAGCAAGCAAGCACTATTTTTTTAACCTACGTTTCATTTTATCCTGGCACAAGACATTAACCTACTTGGGAAACCTCATCTCGTCACCTCATTTGGACAGATCCAGTCCTGAGACAATCATTGGGGCAAACCCATTTCCAAGGTGAAAGGCAGGCAGAGAGCAGATGTGCAGGCAAACAGTTCAGGACCTGGGCAATCCAAGGAACAGGTTTTAGCAGGAATCCAGGAGCAACAGCACAAGCGATCAGTCCAAGGGAGTAGGAAAGTTGGGTACAAACTACCAAGAACCAAAATCAAGGTGGTGTTCCTTTGACCCTCATCTGTCTAGGACTGAGGGTTTTAAGCTGGAGTTCCAGGACTCAACTGCCGCACATCAGAGCTTTCTGAGAAGTCCTTCTCCTGGGGAGGGCCCTGCATGAGGACTCCTTTAGTCATGTGTCTTCTGTAAATGGGCAGTCTTTCTTACAGGCGTTCTTTGGGCCTGCTTTGTGAGATGCTGCTGCTCTTGGGGACTTAGTGGCCGTTCGCTGTGTCTCCGAATTGCCTTTCTCTTTGGGAAATAGACCTGTGGCTGTCCCTCCCAAGTGCCCAAGCACTTTTACTTCATTGTCTTAGGGCACAGCTCAGCTCTGAGAGTTCCAGCCCCACC